AAAAAAATAAAAAATGTGCTCACTACCCCCCCCCCCCCCCCCCCCCCCCCCCACCCACCCACCGAGCGACTTTTCGGCCGGCGCGATTTTCAAATATTCGGGAGCAGAAAAAAAAAAAAAGTTTGGCCCCCTCCCCTAAGAAATCCTGGATCCGCGCCTGGTGTAAAGTCAATACGGGCCGTATTTTTGTGTACTATACGAGCCGGACTTTGGTGCGTGAAAAGTACCCCTTTATCGGACATTTTGGGAACACGCATGGTATCTCTTCGTTCATGGAGTGGGGGCCGGGGGTGGTCAGACACGATACATTTTGTTTTGGACAAAATCCTGTAATAAAATGTTTTTTAATCATAATATATTAGAACCCAAAGTATATGAATGAATGTTTGAAAGAATATTTTTTCACCGTTTATACTTCCTAAGTTTTCGGCAATTTATAAAGTATCCCACCCCCCCCCCCCCGGCAGCGTCATTTTCTTCTGCGGCACAGATTAGGACTTTTTTTTAAGAAGAGGTCTTAATTTAACCCTAACCCTAACCCTAAACTTTCCCATAGGCTCAACACGCACCTAACCCCAATCTGTGCCGCAGAAAAAAATAACGCCCCCCCCGGCATTAATTGACTCACCGTTTTATAGTTTTATCATTTAAAAAAACATTACTGTTATGAGTTAAGTGGTGGGCCCGCGCTTACATCTTTTCCTTCTCTTTCTAATTCGATTCATCGATTTTCAAAAATAGCTTTGTTATTGTTGTTGATGTCCTTGTTTTGGACACTACACTCTTTGAATACTCAGAGTAAACTTTATACTGGTAGGGCCTGGGGTGGGCACTGGGGACTAGGAAAAACATTTTGAGGACAAGCCTTATTTTTGTGACTAACTTGAGTGTGATCCGATAGATGTAGAAAGCCATTATAGCGCCCCTTGTGAGCTACAGGCAGATGTATTCTGCAGGATATCTCCAAAACAGTTCAAACCTGCCATGAAAGAAGGGTACGTAGGGGGTAAGGTGACGAAAAATATGCTATAAAATTATATACAGTAATTTTTGTTCTTGTCGTCAATCTTTTTCATATATCTCCTTCCAGAAAAATCACATCCCCGGCCCCCGTTAAATACACCCCTAAATGTCAACTTACCTGTTAAAACACCAACAATTTAAACAAAATGTGCCGTTGTAAAAGCCGAAAGCAGCCCGTAACTGGGCCATGGGTCAACAACGTGCTATATTACAACTACAACAACCTTATCGTACTTATACAACTACAACAACCTTATCGTACTTATACAACTACAACAACCTTATCGTACTTATTTCATTTAAGTCATCTACTGGTTTACATCATGTTGTTTAAAATATTAAGGCCTAAAATATAGGAACCATGTTCTCCCTTATATCATGAGGTTATGCTCAGGCGCGGTTCTAGAAGATTACAATGATGGTGACTTCTACACAAACCTTTAAACCAGGCGCGGGCCTTGCCCCCCCCCCCCCCCCCAGGCGCGCCGGAAGCAGTTTGGGATTGAGGGCAAACACTCCAGGGGGCTTACCTTCCAGGGCAGTGACGTAATGAGCAAAAACGTTTGGAAGGGGGTGGGGGTAGAAGAAAAATCTGCATCACCACCACTCTTACACGTTACATGCAGGACCCGAGGAACGTTTTTCAAAGTGGAGTATTAACGATCAGGTAGAGCGTAAATTGGCGCGGGGTCCAGGGCCTGAGCCTCAGCAGGGGGTCAAGGGGCTGAGCCCCTAGAAGCTCAGGGTTTTTAGGCATTCAATTACGGTCAGATAAACATATTTAGATACCTCAGTGACACTGGCGGGTCACTAATTGGCGGAGAGTCCAGGGAGCAGATCCCCCGGAAGCTCAGGGTTTTTTGATAATTAACTACGGTGAGGGGCCACCTTCGGGCCCTTGATGGAGTCCAGGGGGCAGAGCCCCCCAGAAGCTCAGGGGTTTAGGTATTTAATTACGGTCAGATGAGCATCCAGGGGCCCGCCTTAGAGCCCTTGGTCGGGTCCAGGGGGCAGAGCCCCCAGAAGCTCGGGGGTTTTAGGTATTAATTACGGTCAGATGAGCATCCAGGGGCCCTCTTTAAGGCCGTTGATGTGGGCCAGGAACAGACCCCCGGAAGCTCAGGGGTTTTAGGTATTTAATTACGGTCAGATGAGCATCCTGGGGCCCGCCTTAGGGCCCTTGGTGGGGTCCAGGTGGCAGAGCCCCCGGAAGCTCGGGGGTTTTAGGTAATTATGGTCAGATGAGCATCCAGGGGCCGCCTTAGGGCCCTTAGCGGGGTTCGGGGTGGAGCCCCCGTAAGCTCTGGGGTTTTAGGCATTTAATTACGGTCAGATGGGCATATTTTGATACCTCATCTGTGACATTGGCAGGTCACTTATTTTCTTTTTCTCTGGGCATAATTTTTCAAAAAGTGAGGGGGGGGGGCTCGAGCCCCCGAGCCCAGCCGTTTTGCAGATCATAACATAAAGGCTTCTAAAAAAGCATATTTTTCGCCCGACTGTAAATTTGGGAATTTCTAATTTTCCAACAAACGCTTAAAAAGGTATGACTTACAAAATAAAATGAGAACAAAATACCAGAAAATCATGTAAATTCAGCAACTTTTGTAAATTACTGGTATCGAATAAGAAATACCCCCCCCCCCCCATCAGTACGCCAGCGTTCAGGGCTCATGTCTTCTCACCCCCATAACAAAAAGCGGACACGCTTTCCCATTCTCTCATTAATGTCCACGATATGCGCGTATCGCTATTATAAAAACCTCCATTGATAAATGGTGGCATGCGAATGGAATTGTATATGTGATTTAATTCAGGTTTTTATTAGTGTTATGTTCTTTTGGTTAAACCATCTTTACTTCTTTACTGCTTTTTTCTTCTTTTTTTGGAGGGGGGGGGCGTTTTTTGGGGGGCAAAAATGCGTTTTGCCCCCCCCACTTTTTTGTTTGGGGGGCAACTGCTCCCCCCTGCCCCCCCCCCCCCCTCTGCAAAAGGAAAAAAAAGAGAAAGAGAGATGGAAAAGGGAAAGAGGAAAAAAAGGGGAAAAAAAAAGGAAGATAGGGGGGGGGGGACCTAAAGGGCCTTGCCTCCCAGCTGTTATACCACCCCCCCCCCCCCGTCAACAAATAAGAGAGAAGGAAGAATGGAAATGGAAAGAAAAAAGGAAAATAGGATATAAAGGGAAGGAAAAAAGAGGAAGAAGAAAAGAAAAGAAGGGGTATTTCAGTTGTAATTTTCCCGCCAACAATTTGTCCTTGCCTCCCACCCCCCTCCACCCCGCCCCCCAAAAGGGGGGGGGGGAGGGAAAGGGAAAGAGGAGAGCTAAAAGGGAACACAAACAGGAAGAAGAAAATAAAAGGGTGAACAGAAGGGGGAACAGTTGCGATTAATCCCGCCAAAAACGTGTGGATCGGAGGGGGGGGGGGGGAGGCGAAAGGCCTTTGCCTCTCCCCATCAAGCTTAAAACAGAGAGAAGGAAGGGAAGGGAAAGGAAAAGAGGAGAGAAAGGAAAAGAAAAAAAGAAAAAGAAAAAAGGTAGGGGGGATCAGTTGCGATTTTCCCCACCAACAAGGTGTAGATCGGGGGGGGGGGCACTGACGTACTGATGGGGGAGGGGGCTTACGGGGAGACAGATGCCCATATATTTCAAACGTGGTTTATTTCTAATTCGATACCTGTGATTTACAAATGTTGCTGAAATGACATAATTTTCCGAAATTTTTCCTCAATCTTTAGTAAATTATACTTTTTTATGCGTTTGTTGGAAAATGGCAAATTCCTAGAGAAAGAAAGAAAGAATAGTAACCAGCCTTTTTCACAAAATAATGAGGTGTCAAAATGTGCTCATCTGACCGTGAATAAATGCATAAAACCCCTGAGCGTCCGGGGGCTCTGCCCCCTACATTTCACCTAGGGCCCTGAGGCGAGCACCTGGATGCTCATCTGACGGTAATTCAATGCTTAAAACCCCTGAGCTTCTGGGGTCTCCGCCCCCTGGACCTCACGCCAATTAGTGTCCTGCCAGCTTCACAAATAAGGTATCAAAATATGCTAATCTGACCTTAATTTATTGCCCCGAACCCCTAAGCTTCCGGGGGCTCCGCCCCTTGGACCCCCCAATTTGTAGCCTGCCAGTGTCACAAATAAGGTATAAAAATATGCTCATCTGACCGTAATTCATTGCCCAAAACCCCTAAGCTTCCGGGGGCTCCGCCCCCTGGACCCCACGCCTATTTTGTGTCCTGCCTGTGTCACAAATAAGGTATCAAAGTATGCTCATCTGACCGTGATTTATTGCCCAAAACCCCTGAGCTTCCGGGGGCTCCGCTAGCTACCTGGAACCCCACGCCAATTCGTGAGTGCCAGTGTCACAAATAAGGTATTAACATATGCTCATCTGACCGTTAGTAAAATGCCTATACCCCTTGAACTTCCGGGGGCTCCACCCCTTGATCCCCCCCAAAAAAGTTTTTGCTCATTTCGCCACTTCCGGTGTCACTATTACGTACCAATATTTTGCTCGCATAATTTCAAATTTGGGCCCCCCTATGAAATCCTGGATCCGCGCCTGCTCTAAACTATGCCTCCAAAAGAACCGTGCATCATTTAAATGCACATGACACCACCTCTAGACGTTAGTGCTTCTAAGCGATGTCTAGACAGCAATTCTGAGATTCTGAGATTCTACATTTATATTTTTTCGAGATGGGGGCCTAGGAGTTATAGGGGTTGGTTCTCGCATTCATTTACTACATGTGCATGAATTAATAATCAAAAAAAATTCTAGGGTGGGGGCTTGGAAGGGCTCTGAACTAGTTATTGGATGCTCTATTGCTTTTGAGTATTCGTTTGCTTGATTAAACAACAAATTAGTAAAATCCGGAAGTAACTTCTCTGGAGCTTATTCATGCAACCCATGCAAAACAGGCTCCATGTACAGCTGATCGCGCTAGCTAGCTACTTACTTGTAGCGCGCCAGCTCCAGTTAAATATGGTTGCATTGATTTGGCCAGCGCGCGCCTGGGGGAGTGTCGAGAGAAGTCAGCTTCACAGCCAGTGTTTCTTCATCCTGTTATATCTAAAGTTTAACATAGCCTGATCGGAGATTCTGTTAAGAAAAAGACAAGAATTTCCAGATAACACAGAACATTTTTGAGTGTAAACTGAGGTGAGGATAGGCTCAAACACATACGCCAAGAAGAGCTCTTTATTTTGCTGAAACAGCGCACGTCAACAGGCGAGTGCATAGGCCCATCGACTTGTGTACCGCCGCAACACGTAGCCTCTGTCGTGTGGTAAGTTTATGCACAGCAATACAAAAGTCAATAGCCTACTATTACAATTGTCGATAATGCTTTACATCTACTATCTAGCCGTGGACAGCATTTCATTTTCATGGCTGCAGCTTGTAATGTATATATGAACATATAAAATGTATTAAATATTGGTGTTTTTAATGACAGGTCTAAAAATGGTTCATGATTAATAATACAAAAATAATTGCAATGAATGACGTAACGTTGATTCACTGAGCAACTAGTAATTGACTTGTGTCCAGCCTGATCCAGTCACCCAGGTCTAATTTAGAGATATCTACTGTCAAGTTTCAGTCACAGTCTCTGGCGTACTGATGGGGGGGGGGGGGGGGGTGGCAGTTGACCCCCCAAGTAAAATTCAAACGTGATTCTAATTCAATACCAGTGTCGGTGATGTACAAACGTTGCTGCAATCGCATGATTTTGCGGGGTTTTTCTCTCACTTTTGCCCATTATGCCAGAGGCGGCACTCCCGATGGGGGGCACTGTGCCCTCACTTTTTCAAGTACTCCCCAAAAGCCCATTTTTACATAGATCAAGTGTCCCTTTTTCTCTTCTAATAACTGTCCTTTTCCTCTCTTTTTATTTCTGGTGAGTACGTCTTTTCAGGTGCGAGAAATTCCACTTTTCATCTCTGATATTTTTGCCCTTTTTATTTTGACTCATGCCCCTTTCCTTTTTGATTAGTATACTTTTTCCTTGTTGATAAGAACCCCCTTCTCTTTCTCTTAAATGCCCCTTTTCACCTCTGATAAGTGCCTCTTTTATTTTGACATGTGCCCCTTTTCCTTTCTAATATTTAGTACCATATTTCCTTAGGATAAGTGCCCTTTTTCTTTTTATATGGGCCCCTCCTCCTTATAAAAATGCCCCTATTAAAATCTGAAATCTTCCTTCAACAGATCCCCCATTTCCATTATCACAAGTGCCTGTTGAGTGTCCCTTTTCAGGGGCAAGAAGTGCCATTTTCACCTCTGATAATTGCCCTTTTTACTTTGACACAAGCACCTTTTTTTCCCTTCTAATAACTGTCCTTTCCCCTTTTGAAAACTGCCTACTTTTCCTTTCTCCATAACATGCACCCCTAATTCAAGGTGATTTAGAGCCCCTATTTCGTTAATTTTCCCTAGAGCTCGCTCGCCACGCTCTCTCCCATTTATAGATGTTATAAGTATGTTACTTATCAAAGAACTTTTCACTCTTTCTTCATTAGATTGTGCTTAATACTCATCAGGTTTTTTTTCCTTCCTTCTTTATAAGATGTATTTTTTTTGCACTTGGACTTCACAAATCTTAACATTTTTTGCTCGCTCGCCTCGCTTGCTCGAAAATTCAGACCATTACACTCAACTGCAGAGTATGTTGCTTAATTAAGTAAAACGTATCTTGTTCCACGTAAAAAAAAAAAAAAAAAATTATCGATATCATCCCTGGTAGTGTAATCGCAACCATGACGATGTAGGGTATATACCAATGTATGTTTTTTTATGTTTCCTTTTGTAGGTGCCCCCTTTTTTTTTGCCCCCCCCCCTATTTTGGAAGATGCTCCGCTGCCCCTGCATTATGGTGCTTGGTGGTGATACAGATTTTGTTCTGACCCCCCAAAAGTTTTTGCTCATTACGCCACTGGTCACAGTAATATAACAACAATAAAAATAATATTAATAATCAAAGTTTATCAAACTGGAAACATTTTATGCAAAAGTTTTGAGTTGATGATGTAAAAGCAAATAGTGGAAAAACAAAACAAACCCTATGCATTAGATTTTTTCCAATGAGGCAAAAATGATCAAAGTTAATCAGGGTTCTATAACAATGGTTAGTTGACATGGTGGTAAACAGATATGATGACCGGTGAGGGGTAGTAGTATACTGGTAGGCTCTTTCTTCTGTGTAGGGGCCTATAGAAGTCGGTATGAGCAAAGGTCAATACCAAGAGCATGTAAAAGTTTTGTTCACATATGAAATGTTGAAACGACTAAAAAAAAAAAACCTGTTGCAACATAATTTAATGACATGAGCGTTGTATAGTATCCCATGTTTCTGTATATTATGAATTGGAATAAAGCACACATGCACAGATACGTACATTTAGGGCCCTTTGATTTTCTCATCTCTCCTTTTTCACCCTCTTCTTGTCATTCATTTAGATTGATAAAATAGTTGAATGTTTACTGTAGCGGCCAGCCGGCTAACCTTCTTATGTGTGAATGTGCCCTCAATAGGGAATCTGTAAAAGAAGAAGAATGACCAATGCGGCCGGCCGTCGGATTGCTTTTTTACTTTCCATTTTACAACATCAGGAAGTTTTGTTATCAGTCATTAGTGATAAAGTTCAAAACAGTTTAACTCTACTTCCAAAGATTCAAGGAGCCACTGTAAAAGCATTAGGAAATGGTCAAAGGTCAAAGCAAGGCTATGTATCCAACTTGACTCAGAATTCAACATTTTGTTGAAAGCTTGTATAGGAGTAAAATTACTATGAAACATAAATAAATGTTGATAGACATATATATAGTGAAGAAAACTTATGAAAATTGCTTTGTTGTTTCAAACTTAAAATATATAGGATCCCTTCTCTACCCCCCTGTAAATTCTGCAGTGTGGAAAAAATTCTCAGTGGAGCGATGGACAAGCAGTGTAGATGTATTTTTAATGAATTACAAATAATATTATTGTTGATTAAAGTTAAAGACCAGTATTGGAAACGCCCCAATTTCAAAAAAATGAAATGGAAGCTCTCATTACCAATCATGTGAAAGAATATGTTTTGACTAGTACATGATGATAAAAAATTTGCCGGGAAACCGCCTACTAATTCATATATTTGGTAAATTTGTTTCTCTCATGGTCTGTGAGAGATATAGGGTAGTCCCATATACATCTTTCTGTGTATAGTGCTAGTAACTTTACGAAGAATGGGCCAAATTTCTTATCATTTTGATGATTCCAGAACCTTACAGATGCTAGATGCTAGATGATCAACCTTTTCTGATCGATTCCACAACGTTTCTTTCACAATGCAATCGCATGACCATAACTGGTCTTTACCTTTAACAATTTGCTTGAGAGTTGAGACTACATGTACAGTTAAGAACTGAATTATTCATACCCCTTGTACATGTATTCACCTGTCTTCTCTGGCTCCGTTAATAGTAAGACAATGTCTTGTAATGCCCTCCCATAGCTCATCAATACACCACTGCAAAGATTTCATTTCATTGTATACATGTAAATAAGCTGTAGACCTGTGTATTTTTAAGGGAATTGCTGTTCTATTGAAACAATTATAATGCATCCTAATGTATACATCTTCCCAAAAGTGCTGTTGTTACATTGGTTATAATTTAAATTTTCTTTCCTGTGTTTGTAATTTTGTGGTCTTCTTATCTTACCTTTATTGATGTGAATGTGAGTATAGAGTATTAGTGCTCATGTAAACCAATTTCATTAGTTTCTATCCCGACGACTTTCACGTGTCAAGAAGTATAGTTTCCCGGCATTGAGATGAGTTGGCTTAGAGATGGAAACGAGCTCTGAATTCTGGAGGATATACAGAACAGGTGCTGCGTCAAGTCCATTGACATACTGGATAAAATCATAATCCTGTTTTGGGGAGCCGACATGACACAATATGGAGTGTGGTGGGACTACATGTAAGACTCGATTGAGAGCGGAAGGGAATCGCTGAGGGGTGGGGTTGCTTTTTCCTAGTTCCTACATATGGCTGATCTCTATTGCATGGAAATGAAATTTGTGACTTTGAAATAATTTTTAATTTTTAATTTTTTTCATATTACACACATTTTAGAATGCCACTGAAGTTTTAATTGCTGCTGATGCTTGTCACACCTGTCCTGTCAATGTGTGGTAGGAAGGTCGCAGAAATCAAGATTACAGTATGAAAAGAAAACCTTCACCTAACAAGATATCCTTGAGATAAGACGGAACATGGCTTTGTGTGTATGAGATACTTTAGCCTACTTTATATATATTTTGGGGAGCTCTTTGTCATTTTTCTTTGGTGCAAGCAAGATTTCAGTACAGATATTTGTTTGCAATCAAAAGGAATTCTCCTTTGAAATTTATTTGTATAATATTTTCCAGAACTATTTTTACACTTTCCAGAACTAAATTGATTACAGCTATTGTGTATATCCTTTACTGACATTACCAATCATCAGTTAGATGATGATAAAGAAAGAGAATGTTCTAAACGACTGTTTGTTGTTATTATCATCATCGGAAGCCAACCAAGACATGTAATGCCTTTGATCATGAACTTACAATCGCTAGCCTTGAGACCATGCCAAATAAGGCTATGCTTGGAAACCTTTTTCACAGATGTTTCTAAAGTGTCACTTCTGCCATTGTATGAGAAGAACACAAAGGCTTTCAAGGATATGATATGTACAGACAGTTCTGGATGTTACCCACTGGATGTGAATAACAGCATGGAGAACCATTACGCTTTGAATGTGAAGGTTACACACTCATTCTCCAATGATCAGGATCTAAATCATCTAAAATGATCTAATGATCTATACATTGAAACCTTTCTTAGTGACCACCTCTATATAAAGGCCACCTCTGTATATTGGTCATGCATCTTGTCTCCCTCCAGGGAAAAAATAACTTTACAAATTTTGGGGGCTACTTTTAAAGCTTGCTTGCTTGCATGAAAATAACCATCTTTAATATGTTTTGCAATGAACTCTATCCAAAATTTGGGGGCTCTTTTAAGACTTTCAGGGGCTCTTTTGGACATTTCGGGGGCTAATTTGCCTCGAGCCCCAGTGTATTTTTTCCCCTGTCTCCCTCTAGAATGAAATATGTTTTGAAGAACCTGTCTAAAAAGGCCACCTGTCTACATTGGCCACTCTCCCTTGGGTGGCCTTAATAGACAGGTTTAACTGTACATGTACAGATGTAAATCTCAGATTACATTTTGACAGTTGCATGCTTCAATGCATAACAAA